TAACTTAATTATCGCAATCAACTTAAAATCCAGCTGTTTCACCAAAAAAAAAAAAAATAATAGTAATAATTTAAATCCAGCTGGGTTTTGGGCCTTTTGGCGTATAAAGTTGGCCCACAAGCAATTACAACGTAAAGTGTTTTTTTTTTTTTTTTTTTTTTTTTTTTTTTTTTTTGAAGAAGAACACAAGTACACAACGTAAAGTGTTCTGATTATTAAACTACAGCATGCAAATCTAGCTACACCGCATTAATTAATACCAGCAAAATAATTACTGTTTTTATTTTCGTATGTTATTTCGGATAGACTTCAATTTGATATGGCAAATTTTACCGTTGCTGTGTGGATCATGATCTAAAACTGTGTCTTTTCTTTTACAACACGTTTGGTTCACGGAATGAATTTTGAGGTAATAAAAATGTTATTTCATACGGAATGGAATAGGTAAGGAATGAAATAGGAATTGTATTCTATTATTTAGTTTGCGGAAGGAATAGATTTTAGGATTATATTACAGTGTTTGATTGATTTAATGAATAGAAATGAAATATATTTTAAAAGACATAAATACCCTTATAAAAATATGTGATGGTGGCAGTGGCGTTGGTGGTGGCGGCGTCGGTGGTGGCAGTGGTGGGGTGGTGGTGGCGACGGCGGCTGTGGCGGCGGTGGTGGCGGCGGTGATGGTGGTGGCAGTGTTGGGGTGGTGGTAGCGGCGATGGCGACGACGACGGTGGTGAAATAGGAAATAAATTTAACTGGGGAAAAATAAGAAATAGAAACTTTAGGCTATTCATGAGAACGCAAGAATAACCTAATACCAGAGGCCCCCCACGAATCTCTATTCTCCTTACTAGGGGAATATGTCATTCCCGAGAACAATGTTCCTGGGAATACAAGTGGTTACCAAACAGATGGATAGGCCTATTATTGGGAATGCTATGTCATTCCAGGCCTATTCCGTGAACCAAACAGCCCATTAATGAAATGAAACGACACCCGTTCCGCGTAATTAATTCTGTTTGTATAACATATTCAATTTCATTTTATATACATTGTGGTTTCATTTTGTTTCAAGTACAATTTAATTCGACATTATATATAAAATCGTCTTATTACAACAAGACATGTTATTGAATTTTATTTTATACACATTGTAGTTTTATTACAACATCACTAAATTATAATTCTAATTCAACGATGGTTTCATGGGACAATATACACTCAAATATGTGAAACTGTTATTTAGTTTCATTTTATATACACTGTAGTTTCATTACAACACAACTAAAGTATCATTAACTACAGCTCCATTTGACAATATACACTCAATATGTGAGACATGTTATTCAATTTCTTTTTATACATACTGTACTTTCATTTCAGCAAAACTAAAGTATCATTTTAATTCAACTATGTACATTTCTATTTGACAATATACACTCAATATGTGAGATATATTATTCAGTTTCATTTTATACATGCTGCAGTTTCATTTCAACACAACTAAAGTATCATTTCAACTCAATTAAAGTTTCATTTGATAATATAAGCACAATATGCGAGACAAGTTATACAGTTTCATTTTAGATACACTCTAGTTTCATTTTGTTATGAACACACAAAAAATACGAGATTTGTTAAAATTTAACGCATGTCGTTTCTTTACTTAAAGAAACGGTGCCGTTTTTGGATCATGATCCATGGTATAACAACCAGACAAATTATTATGTAGACCATGGTCCACATAAAATTGTGCGGACTATGAATGCAATATACATTTTTAATATATTAAAAGTACATTATTTGTGTACTGAATGTACATTATTTGATAACATATAAAAAATCATGTACAGTAAAATAATGTATTTTACAGTATACAAATAATATATTTTTAATATATTAAAAATGTACTTTTTATTTATGATTCACACAAATGTGGACCATGGTCCGTAGATAATAATTCATCTGATATATGGTGTTTGTGTTTCATTATTATTATCTTTTTAAAAAATAATTTTCATTTTCATTATTTTACATATGGAAAATGATGCTTTTACCCTTTAAGTTATATATATATATATATATATATATATATATATATATATATATATTTGAATACTATGAACTCTATTACAGAGTAGTATTTGTTTTATACTTTCTCTATTTATTACAGCCTAAAGACTCGAAACATAGGTGTCATTAAGCACAAGGTGCTTGGCCCTTAAGTTATATGTTTATAATATTGGTTAAAAATATGTAAGTTAGGAAACTTAAGAAGCATTTTTCTAATCTATATGTACTATGTAGTATCTTGGTAAACTTGATATAGATTAGAAAAATGTTTAATGTTGATAATTAAATAAAATGTAAATTCCAATTTTAATAATTGACCATTGCAACATTGTTATATTTAGTATTATTTTAAAAAATTTGCTTCATTACATTTTAAAACTTTCATATGTTTGTTACAATTATTCATCTTTTTAAGAGTATCCTTATCAGTTGGGGATATTAGGGGGAGAATATAAGAGTGAGTAGGAAAGAGAATAATGTGGGAGGAGAGGAAAAAAAATCGAAACTAATTTTTTTAAAAAAATATATAAAAAATAAGCATGTCAGAGTAATTCTTTTTCTCTATTGGTTCTCTCTCTTCCATCATTAATTCATTTTTCTTGGGCATAGTAATATCTCAACCTTTGCAAAAGATGCTCCCCACCCCTTCTCTCTCTTGGTTTTGTCTCGGCCACCATGGCGTTTTGATCTTAGAAGTAGCGAATTCTCCCCTATTTCTATTCTGATGTAGATGCTAAAGTTTTTTCATTCCTTTATTTAATAAAAATAGTTAATAAGTAATTTCATCATTTAATTAAAAGAAATTATGATAGAGTGAGTGAAATTAAATATTAAGACAATAGATTTAAATAATGAAATTATATGTTAACCGTCTGTACTTGTGTTAAAAAATCTCTCTATTTAATTAGTTTTTGTAAAATTTTCAACAAGTTTTTCTAAGTTTTCGTACATTTGTGAAATCGGAAGATGTTTCATTAATTTCCTAACTTACATCAAATCCAAAGCAAAGTATAAATATTTAATTAAATAAAATAGTACAGATATTAACAAATTGATACTCCTAATTGTAATATTAGTTGATAAAGTTCAGTTTAATAATAATATATTGAAGATTTATTCTTTCATTATCATTATGATATAATACATGGTAATATGACGTAGTGGAGTTAATATTGTTCTCAAATTTTACTCATTTGATCAATTAAATTAGAGTTAATACCCAAAATCGTCCTCGACTATAGTGGTTTTTCTCAATTTCGTCCTAAACGGCTTTGGTGACCTAATATCGTCCCAGACTTTTGTGTTTCGCGCAATTTTGTCCCAGACTTTTGTGCTTTTACTCAATTTAGTCCATCATTTGTTATTCTGTCCATTTGGTGTTAAATAAATAGACAATTAAGTAATTTTAATATTGACATCTCTTTACTCATAAACATGTGAACTGCGAAATCCTTTTTTTTTTTTTTATGAATTACTCCCAGAATTACTCCTAAAACTGCGAATATAAAATTTGATTTGCAAGTCCGGGAGTAATTCTGGGTGTAATTCGTACAAGAAAGAGGAATTTCGCACTTCACAAGTTGAAAGTAAAGAAAGATCAATATTGACATTACTGATTTGTCCCTTTATTTAACACCAATTTGACGGAATAACAAATGGAGGACGAAATTGAGCGAAACACAAAAGTCTGGGACGATATTAGGTCACCAAAGTCGTTTAGGACGAAATTGAGAAAAACCACTATAGTCGATGACGATTTTGGGTATTAACTCAATTAAATTATTTATACAGACTGATAGAACTAATATGACAATAAAGATGAATAGATGATTATGATGTGACGATATTTATGTTAAAAAAAATATGACAAGTATTATATTTTGGAAAGTAAAACTTTAAAATTTAAATATTACAAAAAAAATGTTAATAAATAAGTCACATAACCATAATAATATAACACATAGCTCTTCAATATGACACATACCAAAGTCTAATGGTCATATAGTCTACACACGAGCAAAAAATCACACTAGAAAGGTTTTGTGCGATTAAATAAGTGTTGGCAATAATTAAATTTGTGATTTTCAGGTATATTAATCATGCTCCAAAATTTTTGGTGAAGTCGACATTGTGATCATAGCCGGCAAAAGACCAGAATAAGATAAATCAGTTTATGTTGTCCATAGTTGATCGGATCAAATCACGAAGATTAATAGCGAGTTCATAAAAAGTCAAACTTGAAATCTTGTAGTTATCAAGTTAACTATCATTCAATTTACTGAAGAGCCTGCAACTGCTTTCCTAATATGTACTTTGGGAGTTTGGGTGAAGCCCGCAATGATAAAAGAACACAGATAGATAAACTAACATATCTGTCCAACTCAAATTAAGAAAGTCAATAAATACAAATTATTTGACTAACTTGACTGGTTCATCCATGTTAGTCCTATTTAAGTGGTGAGAAATATAGACTAGTGTTGCATTTATTATGGTTTGAATTTGGGCAAGTGTGTATACTTTATAGTGTATACTTTTCCAAATTTAAATTTTGGAAAAATTGTCTGTTAGCTTTTTATTTCCCTTCCTCTCTTTTTTTGAATTTGTCTTATTGTTTTTTGGGTTCCGGTTTTTGAATTCTATGGGCATTATAAACAAATTTTCTCCTCCCACAGACGCGCAGACAGTAATTTCTGCAGCGCCCTGCAAGCGTTTTTCAAGGCAATAGCTGCTGTTTTCAGGTTTTGAACATCATATACAAGGGTCATATGTTTTTATATTGCTTAGAAATTTAGATTTTGTTTGGTTTCACAATCCACATAGTTTAAGTTTCAGCACAATTTGGTTATCGATTAAGCTGGAAGCAGCACTGTGCACTTTGCCTGTAAGGTGTTTGTGGAATTGAATGTTAGTTTTTACAAGTAAAGATGGCATCTTTTAGTGGTTTGGGTATTGGTTTGAGTTTTGTGTTCGGTTGTATTCTGATGGGGCTTGTTGGGGAGTTGTATTATCTGTTGTGGGTGAAGAGAAGAATCAGAGGCAGAGAGAACGAGGATAATGGAGAGACCAAGAGTAAGAGTGCGAGTGAGTTTGGTTTTCTTTTTTGTTGGAAGAAACCCGGTTCTGGGATTGGCAGAACAGGGATAGAAGAGCTCACAAACTCTGTGAGGAACCCAGAAACCAACTGCCAAAACAATGACTTGGAGGTGGGCACAGGGAAGGATTCATTGCTGAAAGGATATGGGGAAGAAGGTGTGGAGTCAGAGCTGATGAGGCTGCACAATCTGTGTGGCCCTCCTAGATTTCTTTTCACCATTAAGGAAGAAACCAAGGAGGATTTGGAGTCTGAGGGTGGGAGAAGTAGAAAGGGTTCAAGAACTAGGAGCTTGAGTGACCTAATCATGGCTGCAGATACCCCTATGTCTTCACCACCATCCAAACCTCTGCCTATAGATTCTTTCAGCCTCCATGGATTCAACCCTCTCTTTGAATCCTCAACAGACGCAGAGCTCAACCGCCTCAAATCATCACCCCCTCCAAAGTTCAAGTTCCTGAGAGATGCTGAGGAGAAGCTGATTAGAAGACTAGTGGAGGAAGCAGAGAGAAGTGCCCTCAGGGGTTCACTTCAAGATTTCCCAGCAAAACCACCTTCCAATCCACCAGTGGCCACTGAAGAAAAAGCTGGTTCTTTTATGTCTTTTCTTGTTAGGAGCAAAGAAAGAGAGCTTCAACAGCCATTGCCATTGTACCATTCAACTCCTTCTCAGGTACTTCCATTGGCTTCTTCCCCTTCAGCATTCAGACCAATTGAAAGCATATCTGCTATGCAATAGTCCCATGAATTAGATGATTCTTTTTCTATTTTTCATCTTTCTTAGTTCCCCTTAACCAGAATGATAGTGCTTACTTGGTATGTATGTATGTATTAAGTTAGTCTCTGATGAGAAAATAGATTAGATTACATTGTGAACCTTTTTCTTTAATTGCTTTGGGAAGCAATTAAGTCTTTCATGTTTCCTGAGTTTCCAATCCTGACAAGGGAATTTGTTGATATCTTGACCAGGCATATTAAGTGCATTCTTTTAATTTGGCCTGGAAAACACCTTACTTTTAAAATCTATAATCACTTGATTACAGTGATTCTATGATTGCACTTGCAAGCGAATATTTGTCAGTGAACATGATCTATTGCTAAGGTTTTAGCATTTCATCATTGTTAATAACTATGATCTATCACTGGTTAGTTAGTTGTTGGTGCACAACTGCACATGCAACCTTATCATGACACATTATTTGCACCTTCTTTGGCTTCCTAATTTCAACTGTTCATCAAAATCATCATCAGTCAAGGTTTGTTTAGCATTGTAATATCTTGCTAAATCCCATTTTAATTATGATTATTAATTTGTTGAACTGGTCATCTTGCCCCTTTTTTGAGGGTAAGGGAGAGTGCTTGCATTCCACCTTCCATGGATGCCTTAAAGGAAAGGTGCTCCTACTTTCTTATCAGATAACTGTTAGGAATCCATCTTTTTTCTATTTAATGAAAAGTAAGTTCTTTCTAAGGATAGCAAGCTAGGAGATGCCGAGATGGCTTTGGCAAATGATAAGTAGGAAATAACAGTGACTCAATGGCTCAGTAGACAGAGCCAAATGTCAGTGCACACAAAGATCTATCCACTCTGGGTATTGTCCCGCTAGGTTCGAACTTTGGTCTCTTCACACAAACACTATCTACTGAACCATTGAGTTAAGTCCGTGCGGGCAAGATTAGTTCAGGGTTGATTTTGAAAAACAAAAGAGAACAAGTCCAGGAATCTGTGATTTTGAAGAGGCTTTTGGACTTTTTGCTAAACTACAAGAAAGGTCATAATAATCACGCGATTCATCATCAGCTACAAAGTTGTCCACACTCGAACCACAGCTCGATATTATCAAAAACCAGATTGTTGAGTGCCTTTTGACCAATAAAACAAAGACACCCATGTTCACATCCTTTTTTTTGAAAATTGCAAGAATCCAGTTGTATTTGTACTAAACGGTGTAAACAACAATGGGAATAAAGTTGAACCCAATGGTTTAATTTTGACATATCATCTAAAACACTCAAAAAGAACCGAATGGAGAAATAGTATCCATATATGCTTTTTATTCAAATGAGTTAATTGTATACACTATTTATTTATTTCACTCAAAATGGTATAATAGAATATAATTGTTATACAAATTAATAAAAATGTTTAGTAATAAATAATACTCCATATTAAACCAGCTTGGTTGGCGTGAGTGGTCGTGCACTCTCGTCCTTGAAGAGAGGTCGAGGGTGCATTAGTCTGAGTATGATACGGAAAAATACAAGAGGTGATATATATTATATAAAAATCAAGAATGTTATGACTCTATAATTCAGAGATCAAAAGTAACCTCAAAAACATAATCTTTTGAAAATAAAGCCTTTGTATTTAACTCGATCAGTTGAGACTTCATTGGCTGGTTGAGATGGTGTAAGGTTGAATATGAGTTTATTTGAGGATGAAGGGACATGATTTTATAAGAGACTAAGACTTGAGCTAATAGTGGTCCCTGGTTGGGTGGAAAGGTTAGGGGGCATCATAATTGCAGCTTAATTAACAGATTGTTGAAGCAAACTTAACAAGGACCACACCACGCACCTGTCTGGTCTTCTTCACAAGCAGACATTTTGTGCATTTAAAATTGCATTTATGACCCAGAATAGCACCCCAGACTGACACTTTATCTTTTGGGATTATGCCAAACTAACCCTAATTCTTACAGCTACCCAGAATCCATTACAACTACTGGTCTTCATTCAATTTGAACTCATATATGATGAAACAACATGGTTGAAGCTGTTTATGTAATTCTGGGTTTATGGAACATATTCTTAAGTGCCCACATGCCAATATATATATCTTTAAAGCTTTTGGGCAGTTCTTGAAGGAACTGGGGACCAACTGTATATGAAACTGCTGGAAATCTTGTAATGGCTGATCCTTCGCACTTGGTGATGACGAAAAATTGTCTTTTTGAAAGCGATTTAGGTGATGAAGACAAATAATGTGCTTTCTGGAATCATGTCACTGGACACAATAAAAAGAAGTTGAACTTTGAATTAAAATTATCTTTTTTCTTAAATATCCATAAAAAGGATAGAAAAAATTATATCTTTGGGAATAAAGTGAAAAATACTTTTATAAACCAATAATAAAAAAAAAAAAAAGAGAAAATTAAACTTTTCGTTCTTTAAGTTATAAGGTAATGAAAAATTTGTCCCTAAAGTGTTGGTCATGCTAATTTTTTGTCCCTAAATTATCATTAGCGTTGCATTTTAAGTCTTTTCGTACTTACTTTTTGTTCATGAGTTATACTAAAATTGTAAATTTTGTCCCTAGTATTTTATTAGTAAAGGAACGGAAAAATGTAACTATAATTGAAAGATTGAGTTCATTATACTTTTATAATTGAGAAATATAATAAAAAGCATTATTTTTCATTTATTAAAGGAAGAGAGTCGATTTTCTAAACTTAAAATCAGAATCAATACAACATACGTTGTATGAGTTAAACTTTACCAAGAATACCTCATTCTTATCTATTTAGTAATATTTACAAGTTAAATCGAAAATAATAAGATGTTTTAATAAACAATTAATGTGAAGAAATGAGTTATTAATTAATTGTGGAAAGGTAAGAAAATGCAGCCAAAAGGAGAGAGTTACATCTTACGATGCTGCTAGTGCGCTGAAACGATTTTGGAAAAAAGATGCGATTTCAGAAGCTTAATTTACTTGTAGATGAAGAATAAGGAAAAGTGTGTTGCAATGTTTGACAAATTAAGGGTCTTTAATTAATCACCACCATTAACACTACAACGCGTTGGCGTGACAAAAAGGAAATCAATCACCGCATTATATTTGGCATTACTATATGGTAATGTAGCTTTAGCTTAATGAGCTTGTTGTGTGAGATGCCACCAATTAATCACAATTTGTCTCCATCACCCTCACAAGTCATGTTATTTATTCTATCTTATGTAACATGGGAGCATGTTCTATCAAAAATATCCTACGCTACATTAATATGATGGTACATTTTGATGTTTTTTTTTTTTTTTTAAATAATTAAGCGATTTCACAATTAATTTAAGGAATATTTTTTTATAATAGAAATAGAGAGAAATCTCATTTAAAAAGAGAGAGAGAGAGAGAGAAATCTCAAGAAGAAAAAGATTCATTACCTCACACCTGTCAGAACGTCTTACAACTACTCACATGAGGAATATCAACTTAGTCGTTCATAAGAATACTCTAAGGGGTTGTTCGGTTAAGATTGGATGGGGCATGTAATATGTGTGTCTAATGTGTATTCAAAAATAATTAAATACCCTCCATATAATAAGCTAAGACTTGGGAGAGAATCACATTAGCTTCAAAATTTGATGCGATGGCATGTTGCATTCCCAAAAAATGTTGTATTCCCTAAGGAAGGTAATATATAACATGATTAGAATATGAGGATTTGATATTCTAAAACTCACACTCCTTTTGTAATGAGGATATTTAACCACCGCAACCCTTGATGAGTAAATACGCACTTGGACTATTTGTAGGATTGCCTAGTAGGGTGCCACTAGGTCGGATCCCAGCAGAGTGCCACCTAGTAAGCTGGATCCTAGCATAGTGTCACCCGGTTGCATCGCTCGTGTTGAAGATTGGAAAGCGTAGTGATTGGTGAATACACTCTAGGATTACCCGTGGGATTGCCCAACAGGGTGCCACCCGGTCGGTCTGCTTCATCACCCACTTCGCAAGTTGGAGAGCTTAGCTTACACTACAAGTAAAAGAGATCTACTTGAATTGCGCCTACATGAAAGGCAGCTAACAACGTGCAGGAATGATGGCTCTATTGCCTCATTTAGTCAACATACGCGTAGTTGTAGAGCGATTGACTGACTAGGCCAATGAGAGCGCGTCACGTCAAGCCACTTGCATATGGTGCATTTAATGCTTAGCTGACTTGCTTAGTATAAATAAGTGGGTTCTTCCCTCAATTGTCATATTCACTACATTGTAACATTACACCACTTGTAATAGTCTTCTACTCATAATATAACATAGCTTAGCACACTCAGTTGTCCACCCGGTAGACCGACTAACGGTTCGACCTACTGACTGACTAAGCGTCGTTCTACTTGTTCACTACATACGTATTCGTAGCATAGCCGCGACCCTCGGTCTAGTTTACACTATCACCCCCTATGCATGTGATAGCGTAAATTGGATCAGGGGATATGACTATGCTACGAATACGTATATGGTGAACAAGTAAAATAACGCTCAGTCGGCCGGGTAGACGACTGAGTGGACTAAGGCTTTATTGTATTACGAGTAGAAGACAATTACGTACAAGTGACGTAGTGTTACAATGTAGTGAATACCACAAGTGGTGTGATATTACAAAGTGATGGATATGACAAGTGAGGGGAGGACCCTCCTATTTATACTAAGTAAGTCGGCTAGGCATTTAATGCTCTGACGTAAGTGGCTTGACGTGGCGCACTCTTATTGGCTTAGTCACTCGGTCACTCTGTAGCTATACATAGACTGATTACCTTAAGTGACAGAGCTATTATTCCTACACGCTGTTAGTCACCTTTCTTGTACGCAAGTGGATCTTCTTTACTTCTAGTGTAATATAAGCTAAGCTCTCCAACTTGCGAAGCGGGCGACAAAGTAGACCGACTTTGTGGCACCCTGTTGGGATCCGACCGGGTGGCACCTTACTGGTAATTCCGCGGGTGGTCCAAGTGCGT